ATTTGAAAAATGCTGAAAAAGTGGGCAGACCCCAGCGGAGATAGAGGGGACGAAATAGATGCTAAAACACTCCATCCTGATCGTTTTCAATACTCGCAATTCCAAATCCTGACTGGTTTTGACGAAACAAGATGGTTTTTATACTGCCAAGGGCGTAGCTCGTACAAGAGCGTGGTGAGCTGAAACCTGCGTACGTCACGAAGTGCGAAACATCCAATAGGAAAATTCAACTGCAGTAGCCACCGTTCAACCTGAACGTTTTTACACCATATATTGAAGAAATAAAACACTTTATACACAAATGTCAAAAAGTTACTTGAATCAATGACTGGTATTAATAAAGATCCATTCTTACAGATCATTAACTTAAAAAAGTTGATTTAGGGTTTAGTTACTCTTTAATATGAAAAAAATGGTGGAGTATCCCTTTAAAAAAAGACTGCAAGGTTACATCACTAATGCCTTATCTAGACTTAGATCATTGCCTTGAGTTACTTTGAGAAAGTTTCATACTCGTAAAACAGCTTCCACGGGATTGAATGTCAATACAATTTATAAATGTTTTTAAGTTTTCAGGCTAATTTTAAGAAAAATATACATACACTACCATTGAAAAGTTTGAGGTTGATCAGATTTTGTAATGTTTCTTTTAGTCTCTTATGCTCCCTTAGGCTACATAAAATACAGTAAAAGCAGCAATAGTGTGAAATACTATTACAATTTAAAATAACTGTCATCTATTATTATATTTTAAATTTTAATTTAATTGAATTTTCAGCATCATTACTCCAGTCTCCAGTGTCACATGACCCTTCTAATATTTGCTGTTCAAGAAACATTTCTTATTAATTTATCCATGCTGAATCTATTTGTTTCTTAATTCTTTTTTTTCTTACTGACCTAATTGTATATAATATTTTAATTATGTCATACTCAAGACATGTTCTACTTTATACAGAAAATGCACAGATGGCTAATGAAGGTTTAAAGAGCAATCATGTGTAAGACTATAAGTGATTTATTCAATTAAACATCCTTAAAGGGTTAGTTCACCCAAAAATGAAAATTCTGTCAGTATTTACTCACCCTCATGTTGTTCCAACCCCGTAAGACCTTCGTTCATCTTCAGAACACAAAATTTTGTCGTTTTTTTGCGCACAAAAAGTATTCTCGTCGCTTGATAAACTTAAAATTGAGCCACTGAAGTTACTTGGACTATTTTAACGCTATCTTTCATAACTTTTCGAGGCCAGCAAGTTTGAATCCCTCAAGAGGCCTATGGACTAGTATGCAGGAGTGATCCAGCTCTCAGATTTCACCAAAAATATCTTAATTTGTGTTCAGAAGATGAACGAAAGTCGTACGGGGTTGGAACAACATGAGTGTGAAAAAGACAGAATTTTCATTTTTGGGTGAACTAACCCTTTAAAGAGCATAATTTCCATTAAAGTGTGGCATTTTTCTCTCAATGTTTGCATCTGTACAAGTGAGGTTGAGATCCGAAATCCCTTACATAGAGATGTGTGTGTATTATGCTAATTACAGGCACACATTGCTTCATTTTTAGACTAACTGGTATCCATCACTATTACATAATGCTACTGCATGCACCTGTTGTGAATCCAGCCGAACTTTTGCAGGAAAACCTTCTTGTATAAATGCACCTTGTACGCAATTATTAATCACTGAGAACCACTGTGAGCATGTTTCTAAATGGAGTTTTGATAAGTTTTGACCTCCCAGATAAGGTCACGTTCAGTATTTTGTTTTCCTATAGCAGGTAAAGCTGTCAATGCTGGCATTATGATGGCAACTCAACACTGGCTTAGAGAGTTTTTTAACACCCTATTAAAAAAGCTCTGCAGGGAAATAGCGTAATCCATTTCCTTGACAACCGTTAGGAGGGAAACACATTTAAAAAAAACAAAAAAACATTTCTATAGCTTAAATACTCTGTACTCTATTCCTTTCCTTTCTTTCTGTTGCCTCGGCAACAACAGGAATGGATGCAGGTCAGAGCTGGGGGATGGAAATCAGCATGAGCAACTAAACACTCGCAAAAAGACTCATTACACAAAAACATATGCAAGAGCATCCGATTTAGTCACACAATGTATAGGATTTAGTCACAGCTCCATTATACATCAGCTCAGTGCAGTATTTGGACCACAGTTCCCATGAGTCTGTGGCTCACCTGTGAACGTCACCTGTTTTATTAACAATCTCACTGCTATCTGCACTATGACAGCCATTTAGAATGGAGTCATTCTTCTGAAAAGCAACAGATCAGTAAGTACAGTAATAGTGAAATTGTTTTCTTATTGAGCCACAGTCTGACTTAAATCAGAAATCTTAAAGTATAGAGCCATCAGCCATACACAATGCAAATAATAACACAGATTAAAGTGACCGCATCTGCTCAAAGACATGGTTCTAGAAGCATGCAAGGTGAAATGAGTAATCTTAAAACTATTTTAATAATATGTCAGTGTATTAAGTCCACATTTGCTCTAATGGTCTGGATACTGTACACTACAACCATTCCCTTAATCAGTACTTGTATCTTAGACTTAATTAAAGATATAGTCTCTGAAAGTGTTATTTTCCCCTCTGGCAAATCTCCAAGCAAATTTAGTTAGATTTATGCTAAGGAACTAGGAAAACAATTTGCCAATGAATAGAGTATGATAATTCAGGGTTTCTTTTCTGAAAACAAGTCTTAACATCAATAATACATAATGCAAGTTTGTTTCTGAAGTACATTTATGTTGTTTTAAGCATATTTACACAGTTGTATGTAAAACAAGACAAAAATACTCTAAGAAATGTGTCTTTTGCAGTGTAGTGATTGTTTTACACCAACCACTATGTGTGCAACATAAAAATATTAATTAAATGTTAGAAAATGAGTTAATGGGTGATCAAATTTCATCAAATCATTATGGAAAAAAAGGATAACTGACTGACAACATGGACTGTGGTGTGCTGGTCAACCCACAAAGCCCACTAGGCTGACTAGCAAGTTTTTTTGGGGGGGAAAATTATACCAATTCACCAGCTTAAAGGGTTAGTTCACCCAAAAATGAAAATTCTGTCAGTATTTACTCACCCTCATGTTGTTCCAACCCCGTAAGACCTTCGTTCATCTTCGGAACACAAATTAAGATATTTAGGATATTAAAATCGCTCCTGCATACAGTCCATAGGCTTCTTGAGGGACTGGCTCTTGCTGTCCTCGAAAAGTAATTGAAGACATCGTTAAAATAGTCCAAGTGACTACAGTGGCTCAATCTTAAGTTTATCAAACGACGAGAACACTTTTGTGCGCAAAAAAACAACAAAAATAACGACTTTATTTCAACTATTCACTTCCTTCTCCATGGGCCTGTAAGTCAGTTAACGTAGTGTGATTGCGTAGAGCTACGTCACACGTAGGCTCACTATTGGCCGACGCTGGTCATGTGTGTGTGATGCGTGTGACGTACAATAACAGAAGCTTACGCTATTAAACTAGTTACCTGACTCGCGCAGAGGGAGAAATAAACGAATAGTTGAAATAAAGTCGTTATTTTTGTTGTTTTTTTGCGCACAAAAGTGTTCTCGTCGTTTGATAAACTTAAGATTGAGCCCCCGTAGTCACTTGGACTATTTTAACGATGTCTTTTATGACTTTTCGGGGACGGCAAGAGCCAGTCCCTCAAGAAGCCTATGGACTGTATGCAGGAGCGATCTTAATATCTTAAATATCTTAATTTGTGTTCCGAAGATGAACGAAGGTCTTACGGGGTTGGAACAACATGAGGGTGAGTAAATACTGACAGAATTTTCATTTTTGGGTGAACTAACCCTTTAATCAATTAAATACATTATTCAGATCCATCATAGACAAGAACCAACAAGCCAGACCAGCACTAAACAGCATATAGGCCAGGTTTCATAGACAGGGCTTAGATTAAACCAGGATAAGGCTTAGTTCATTAAGGGCATTTAAGTCGTTGTTTTGAATAAACGTGTCTTGAAAAAAAACATTACTGGTGTGCATCTTGAGACAAAACAACGGCACTGGCATATTTTAAAACAGCTCAAACATTTATTTTAGTCTGAGACTAGCTTAAGCCTTGTCTGTTAAACCGGGGATTAGATCATTTGTTTTAACCTAGTATGATTTTTGCAAGTGGACAATTCTGCCATCTGTGCTACATTTAAAGCAATTTCTCTCGGTAGAAGAATTTACTGGCAATCATAAATAAATGTGCAGGCCGTATTGATCGACTCTTCCAGGAAACAACATCTTCACACTTGTCCCTTTATCTCTACAGGTGCACCTAAACAATCATGATAACACTTTCTCCTCCAAACACACACCAGGCAAACACATTCATGAATTTGAACACGCCCACGGTGGACTTGTTTTCTGCATTGTCAGAGGAGTGACGTTGACCACGTGTTGGAATGCAATGAATCAATGAGTTAACATGCAGCACTGGATTAACAACAAAAGGACCATTTCCTAGATAATCCGTACAACATTAAGGTATTATTCAAAGTTGTCTCATTTCTAATAATAATTGTTCATATTTAATTTATATTTGCCACCTACTTGCAAAAACTTCTACAATCACATACTTCTAATAAAATCGGTTTGCTTTCCAAAAGTTCCCAAAGCACTGATATGAGACCACAGACAGGTAACATACAAGCAAGGTAATACATTCACATGATAAATGTCACAAAATCCAAGGATATACTATAGCCCTCATAACCTTTAAGGTCTACAAAATCAATGCTGAGCATTTTCCAACAATCATGTAACAGGAGACCAACAAATTAAGACACAGAGGACTCAAGTACAGAACATCTGACATAATCACAAAACAGCTCACCTGAGAACAAACATTCAAGTACACATGCAAACCCACACCACCCACAAGATGCAACTGATGACTAATGACTACTGGAAAAAAAAAAGATAGAGATGGAAGTGTGAAGGAGACACTCACCATAAACTGAACGTTGTCGAAGCCATTAGACAGCAGGTGGTTTTCGTACTGCACCAGACCGATGTTGTCCAGCCACTGTCCTACCGACTGGACGGGGCAGCGGGGGCCTATCAAGGGGTGCAGAGGGAGGCGTTTGAGAAGTGAGTACCCATCCACCCGGTAGCAGCGACAGTCCGGCTGCGAGAGCTGGCACTGCCACATCATGTTCCGCGCAATGTGACTGTCAAACGAACCCGCCATGCTCAACAAGCGACAGGGAGCGCGAGTGCAAACAGGAGAGACGGAGAGAGCGAGAAAAAAGGAGGTGGAAAAGTGATCTCAAGGAAACAAAGAAAGTAATGCTGAGAACAGAAAGAGAGCGCAAAGTAGGAGAGGGTCCTCTCGGGAGAGTGAGCGTTAGGGTCCGTGCTGGAGGAGAAGTACGCCGGGGGTGGAGGTAGGCATGCTGAAGGCTCCAAATTACATCCACAAGAGAGGTGAGAGATGCGCGATCACCGACCACCGCTTCAGCCGCTGCGCTTCTCAACCTGTGTCTCAGTGTGTGGAGAGTGCAGGCATGTGCATGTGTGCATTTGCGCGTGCGGGAGAGAGAGTGTGTGTGTGTGTGTGTGAAAGAGGATAGGAATGACAGCGTGTAGCTGGCTTGGTAGAATTCTGTTTCTCCAGCACTCCCACACTCATTTGTATGCCTCTGCATCCTGTGCCACTGTGCTCTCTCTCTCTCTCTCCCTCCCTCTTGGTCTCTCTTTCTCCCTCCCTTCTTTCCACTAGCTGTACCTCATATTGCCGATAATAGCCATCAGATCAACCCCAGCCTCTTTGTCTGAGTGTGGAAGCTGCTGTTGCTTCCTCCCACACGTACACACACATGCATAATACACACACTCTGTGGGCGTCTGTGAGCATTTGTGGAATGATAACACAAACAGGCTTTCTGAGGACAAAAAAACGAGGGACCACTGCAGAGGAGAGGCGAGATAAAAGTATAGGAGACGAGACGAGCGGAGAGGCGATGACGGAAAAGGTGAAAGTAGAGCAGACGAGAGGAGAAAACAGGAGTTGAGAGGAGAGGAAAGGTAAAAGGCAACAACAGAGGTTGCAAAAAGAGAAATAATAAGAGAGAGGATGCCGTGAAAGAAAAGGTCAGGAGACAAGAGGAAGGGTGAAAGTTAAGGTGGCATGAGAAGAGGAGAGAGGACAGGAGAGGGGAGATGTGCAAGAACAGGAGTGTTGAGAGGAGAGGAGAGAAATACAGGAAAGGAGACAAGAGATGCATTAAGAGAAGGGTAAGGAGAGAGGAGTCGAAAGGAGGAAACAGGTAAGAGGAGAGAATGAGAGGGTGCAACAAGAAACAAGTGGAGAGAGGAAAGGAGGTGAGAGGAGGCAAAAGGTAAAGGTAAAGGCAAGTGAAAGGGGAAGAGTTGAAGTAAAAGGAGAGGCAAGTTAATTGTTAAAGCAACACCATGGAACTTTTCCTCTTCGGTCGCCCTACTGGTTGGAAACGGAATTGTCCATTACCGCTGTCGTAAATAATTTAGCCTGCCGCAGCCTACCGTCGCACACACGCTCGCTGTTTATCCAGCACCGGCTTTGGAATTAACGAAGTCCACAGACGAGGTAGAGTAAGTTACATGTTTTCAAGATAGGATGATGTATTCAGAAACAGAAACTTATCAGAAACAAAGAAAAAAACGAAATAATGACTATTGTAGCACTTGACGTAAAGTAGTTGAATTTTGAATTTTTTGGGGGGGTTGTGAGCACGGATTCCTCCATTATGTAAGTTATATAATGGCAGTAAAAGCGATACAGACTAGTGTTGTCACGATACCAAATATTGTTATTGTTTCGATACCGATACCAAGTCAAGAATCACGATTTCGATACTTTTCCGATACTTTTCCTGAAAAGGAAAGTATTTCTTACAGGGCTTATTCCTTTGCGTAGGTCTGTGCCCTTTAAATGCTGTAATAACCTAATATAAATAAATCACTGACAAACATGCTCTGATTATGTTTGTTTTGCATGTATGTTTTGTATGCTTCATTTTAGCAACTTGCAAATTAGCTATGCTATCTACGAAAGTTGGGGTGAAACTTGTGCAGCTAATACCAAAATAAATAAAACAATTACAGTCAAATAGCAGATAATTAATTTATTTCTCCATTAAATAAGAGATCTAGCGCTAAAATCTGTTGTTTTTTAAATCAAATGGAGCGCTCTTTTTCACTGCTATCAGTTGCATGGTCTTTTACGGCTCGCGCCTTGCGTTCATTTGGACGCGCGCTTCATTCTATCACCGCCAGATGGTGTTGCTAAGAACTTGCAAAGTATAACTATCAGACCGGTCCTCGCGGCCTCGAAACACTACTGGTCCACCGGGAAAAGTCCTGAATCTCCGGATTGCCACTCCGCTACTGACCGGCAGCCACAGACACAGTATCACTTGCGCTTGCGCATGCAGCCGTGTCGCTGTAGTGTTTGTCTCGTGACAGCTGCCGCTTCTTTGCTGCGTGCGCGAGGAGAAACAAAACCACTGACGTCCATGGGGAGGGACTGGAAACGTGCGTTGCACACACCAACATGAAATACGTCTCTTACAAAGCTGGAACGCGATCATTCATAAAAGTATCGATACTAATACATTTAGGTATCGTGAGGTTTTTAATTTCTGAGTATCGCGATACTTTTGAAGTATCGTCTCTTACAAACCTGTAACACGGTCATTCATAAAAGTATCGATACTAATACATTTAGGTGTCGTGAGGTTTTTAATTTCTGAGTATCGCGATACTTTTGAAGTATCGGTGCATCGTGCACCAATTACAGACCATGTCAGGCTATGGCAGACGTGTCATTCGATGAACCATCACAAGGGTCTTGGAAATATATTATGAAGATTGAAAAACTACATAGTGTTACTTTAATTTTACTCATTATTAACTTTAATGGTTTTCACTTTCGTTGCGGTGAGAATCTCAGGAGCGTGATCTCCAGTCAACGAGATGTTCCTTTCCCTCTGAAAAACTAAACTCTCCCAAGATCAGCGCTTAGAGGTCTAAACTGTCCATCCACTTCTTGTCCCCCTGCTCTCATTATGACTTCTGGAAGAGCACAGTGACGAGAGGAGAGCGCACAGTAACCATGGTTACATCTCAAAAAGCTCCCAGTCTATGAGCAGGTCTTTGACACTACTGAAGGAAACCCTCCTGTCTCACAGTGCTGCACACTTCACAGCCGATAGTTTATATATTCTCATCAAGCCATGAGCTCCCAATCATTATGGATATATATATGTTAAATGTACTGAAATGACTCACTGTATGCATCAACATCACACACAAACATAGACACACGAACCTGAGTGATTCTCCGTAATCCCCTCCAACTCTGTGCCAATTCCAGCACCTATGGAGCTCATAATCTTGTCAATCTGTGGAAAGGAAGAAAGAGAAAGAGAAATTGTGTGTTTGCATAACGGTTTGCTCATCGCTATTTTTATATCTTTATTCCCAGGCATTTCCCCACAGACTTCTCCTCATTGCTCTTTTCCTCTAAGCTCACTTTTAGGTTTTATTCTTAAATGCCAGTAATTGTGCTCCAAAACCACCTAATTGTTGGCTAAAACCTGGGGGAGAAATGGGAATTTTGGGAAGGCAATTTATCACAATCAGCTTCGTTTGAGAATCTGTCAGTTTCGGAGAGAGAGCAGGGAGAGTGTTTTTTTGATGAATGTCTCCTCATTAAAATGACAGTGATGTTCGGAGTGAAGAAAGTGTCGTTTCACATCCATAAAGCCGAACACCTGCCTTCAAAGAACAGCCCTCGCTGTCTCCCAGCGGACTGCGTTTTTGCTCCAAAGAGAAAGCGGCTCGGAAGCCCCAGACGAACGGATGCAGAACTCTCCCCTCTCCCCTTTGATCAGTTATTTCTAATGTATGTTCTCCTTTGAAGACCTGACATCTGGGTGAGGCTGGGGAGGAAAATCCTCTGATGCATTAAATCTATTGACTATGGAGACATATGAAGCAGGAAGCCCCCTGTCTCTAAATATAATCACTGACCTGAAAGATTGACTCTTTGTTGGAGGCTGAGACTAATATAGTGTGAACTTGATCTTTGATAAAATGTTGCAATAGGGTAAATCTCTGTCAAAATTGTCTGGGTCATATTTTTGCCATTATTGTAATGATAATTAAGCACATTCCCCCAAAATTTCTCAAAACTGTAATATGAAAAAAAGCAAAGTATTTGAACATGATAACAACAGGGTTCTCAAGTCTCACGCATTGGCCGTGAGACACACGCATTTCGACCGGTTCACACGCTCACACGCCACACTGTGTATTTCTCACGCTGAAAAGGCAATGCCAACCAAGTTGTCCTGGCTGAAAGCTTTCTAACGTTGTATACGAGGCGCAGGCAAACAAAGTGAAGTTTCCTGCCGCCAGCGCGTATCTCCGCCAGATTGCGTTCGTTTCTAGGCAACATATATGCGCGCTGCGTGCACCACTGATCTATACATGACATGCCATTGAGTAGCGCGAACACACGGAAATGGACGGAACATCCTCGGCCTGCCACTGTACGTTCGTTACTAGGTAACCAACAACATCGCGCGAACACATGTGTCGTGATGGAGAAGAAGGTAAGTTGGAAGAAGCTCGTCTAACCTTTTTGGGCTAGAACATTTAATATGTAGCCCATCGTACATTATTATTGATGCAGTCAAAAACTCTACAACTACTTTGCAACCAGGCTCAGTTTGGCTATCTTACGTTATCTGAAACTAAGAGAAATGTTAGTGGGTATGGAAAGGAATGAAGATTTACTGATTTGATTTTAAATTATATTATAATGTAATATTAATAGTCTTTCTAGTTACATTAAGGATGTATTACAGCAGATTGCTCTGGGTAATATTTAATCATTGTCATAATGTTGCATTTTTGTATTTTTCAAAGATGTCAGGAAAAAAGCAGAAAGATATTTTGTCATTTTGGGCACCAAAGGGTAAGCCCCCTAAAAAGGTTGCCAGATTAGAGGAGGAGACAGTGGAAGAGGTGGTGCACTCTAATCTGTCCATTTGTTCTCAATGTCCCACCACACAATAAATCATTCGTCTAGATAGGAGACGCATTCAAAAATCAAAATGCAATTTTTAAAGATTTGTTTGAAACTGTTTAGAGCAATTTGTTATATTTTTGGTTAGCTATATTTGTAATACTGCATTAAAGAGTATTTGATGTGATGAATTGCTCTGTCATTTATCAGATTTACTAATTGTTATAATTTTAATTTGTTCTGGTTAATTATGAACAATGGGTAAAATTGGGGGCGGGGATGGGTGGGGCGGGGCTTCATTATGGCTCCTCCCCTAACCGCGTGTGATCTCACTCCAAGCTTTTGCTCAAACTTGAGAACCCTGATAACAATGAGAACTTGAGGGTTAAATTGAGTGCTTAAAGGAGAACTCCGGCGCTAAATGAACCTTTGGTCTAATAAAACATTGGTACCTAACATTTGTTTTCATGATAATCGAATGTAAAGAGTTTTATCTCTAAAAACTTTTTAGCGTATAACACTAGTAATGGGGGCATTTACTAAGTAAATAGAAATTGCTAGTTTATACCACTAACAAGGGTCAAAATAGCTCCACACTACCACAGTAACATAATGAGGGTCCATACATGCAAAACGAAGCATTTAACGGACCGTTTAATGAGAAGATACTTTATAAAGACAGTTCACTTCGTGTATACAGACAGGAGCCATCTTTGGAAAACTCGATAAGTCGAACTTTAACCGTCAAGAAAATAAATAAATAAATGAAAATCCAATTAATCTCGGTTCTTTATGCAAACAACACCTTATTTATTATTTTAATCATAGACATGTTTTTGATTTGGCTAATCAGTTCACTCAGTATAATTAGGATGTCATTATTCAAAGGGACTTCCTCCATTAATTGACTGACTGCTTAACTTTTTATATGCTACATTACCCTGAATAAAAGCTGCCCTAGTAGAAAACAGATCACTGTCAGCGCAAACGTGTCCCAGGCCTATCATTATGCACCCTTCATATACAGTATTAAAGAAACGCATTAAAAATCATTTAGCTGCCATGACAACATTGTTGAATAATTTACGCTTTCTGGCGAAAGGGCATGATTTTTGCATCAGACATCAAAAACATAAGCCGAGAACCGAAATAAAACCTTTCATGCCAGTCAGCTTGGTTACTTCAAACTAAGTGAATTAATTAAGTGGAAATGATTCTGCAATTAGCTGGTAATTAAAACGTTATTACCTCTTCCCACTCGGCAGTAAAGGAGGGGGTTCTCTCCAGTCTGTTGGGGCTGCTTTTACCGGGGCTGCTCTGCCCTCTGGAACTCCACTGCTCCTCCTCGATGGGAGACACGGCCACCAGGTTAGAGTCGGATTTGGAGAAATTTCTGGACAGCTGAAGGTCCAAAACGTTTTTAGGCATGGACCTCATCCTCCCAAGTGTGCAGGCTCTTTCTTCGTAGCTGGTATTCCCGCTTGCTGGGCTATTGCCGCCCGTGCTGTTGCTCCGGGCCTCCCCGTTCCTCGCATGCACCCCCGTGGTCTTGTCACCCAGTTCACCGAGCGGTAACGTGCCCTGGTTGACCTGTGTGTGAAAAATGGTCCTGTAGACTATCTGCGGTTTGGCTTCCCTTTGGGTCTTAAGAGCAGACGCCTCACTGCCGGTGCGAGGGAACGGAGGCGAGTACTCGGGCGCTCTGAGAAAATTCCCGTGCCGGACCGGGGGCTCAGGAACGCTGAACTTTCGCACTTTGCCGTAGAGCTGGTAGGGGTTATCAGGGGATTCGCAGGCGGGAGATGAGCCGTGGAGGAGGCCGGCAAACTGCTCGGGAACGTGGCTGTTTCTCCGGTCGTCTCGCTCTATGCACTCTTTCTGGTGTACCGCCTCATCTGCAAGGGGGGGAAAAAATCAGTAAAATCAGATTCTCAAAGCACAAATGTGTCCTCACTTTGAAGTACAAGCACCCAGGCAGATTCTGGATATGAAATATAGTGTTGTGTCTGTGTATATATGTCATTCGGTCGACTGAGGCTGGGGGCAAACCAATCTATTCATTGGAGTGAGAGAGACCCTGTTCTTGTCCTCCTCTTGTCCCCTACGGACTGTCTCCTGCATCCCCCATGTAAAGAAGCCCAGGACTCCTTCACTAAAGACCTCTTAAAAGCTGTCCTAGGGCAGCATGTGATCTGTAGTGTAAACGAGGCTCTCAGTTCATGGAGGTCACCGGGTTTATTCAGTTCTTGATAAATATGAGCGGTGTATGTATTTATTTTTAGGCTCTCATGTTTAAATTCCAGTTATGACGTCTGCATTCATCAAGATGTAGGTGTTCTTCACGTTTCTCTGTTTATTCTGTCCAGTCATGAGCGTTGGACGTTTTAGAGGTAGTTTTAGCTTGCTAAAATGTAAACAAATATCAATAACAACCAGATTTAAATATATGCTTGCTAGTTGAAAAGTTACCACTTCGATGTAAGGGTATATACTGTATAGCTATAAAATAAATGTTCAAAGTTCTTATGAAATATATTATAATAGCACACCTCTCCTTAATAAGCCTCATGACTTGAGGTATGACTCTTTTCTGTGGCACAAAATGTGTGAGACATTTGAATTCAACTTCTTCAAGTCTTTAAAAACCTTTAAAGGAGAACTCCGGCGCAAAATTAATCTTTGGTCTAATAAAACATCTGTACCTAGTCGACCGTTCTCTGAGATTTGTTTTCATGATAATCGAATGTAAAGAGTTTTATCTCTAAAAACTGTTTAGCGCATAATGCTAGTACTGGGGGCATTTACTAAGTAAAAGGAAATCGCTGGTTTATACCACTAACAAGGCTCAAAATAGCCCCACACTAACACAGTAACACAATGAGGGTCCATACATGCAAAACGAAGCATTGAGAACTTTGTAAGTGTACAGACCGTTTAATAAGAAGATACTTTATGAAGACAGTTCACTTCGTGTATACAGACAGGAGCCATCTTAGAAAATAGTCTCAATAAGTCGATCCCCGAATGTCGTTCATACTGTTCAGTTCATATCACTCAGCACGTTGTTCATGGTTTGACTTGTCGTGACTGTTTTCCAAAGATGGCTGCTGCCTGTATACACAAAGTGAACTGTCTTTATAAAGTATCTTCTTATTAAACGGTCTGTACACGTTCTCAATGCTTTATTTTGCATGTATGGACCCTCATTATGTTACTGTGTTAGTGTGGGGTACACACCCCCTTCCATGTTTATTTTATGAAATTTTGGTTAATTTGATAATGAAATAAACAAAAGGAAATGGAAAGATTTCAAGTTTCCTGTGGATGAAGATTACACACAAACCTAACCATAACAGTAATTATAATAAATGTAAGTGAAATTTGGTCAAATAAACAGACATTTAGTATGTGCATTCGCACCCAGAACACACGCACACATATTATTGGTACATCCGGCTTTGATCCTGTCCAGACAGTTTCCCTTTTATCTCATAATGCAGAATAATCAACTGAACAGAACGCTGTGCTACAGGCCAAAATAACCACTGGAATAGAGGAATCTGAAAGGAACACAGAGAAAGAAGCTATTTTTATTTAGCATCAAATATGTCGATCTTGCATAAACAAGACTAAATGGAGGCCGAGCAAATTCAGCTTTGATGAATAACTAAAACGCCTCTCAAAAGCATTTCTGGTCTCGTTCCATCACACCCCAACCTCACAAGTCGTCAAAACAGGCTCTGAATGAGTGTTTTTTTTTACTCATTAAAATGTGCCTATAAAGCATCACAGTAATTGCATGTAATATAAATCACAGCATTTGCACTGCATTTGCATGTAATGCACCACCTCGACATGTTGGATCTCATATCTGGAATCTAAAGTGAAAAGACAGCGTCCCATGTGATAAATACGGCGGAAGACATGCACTGCTTAAAAGGTTTTTGATGTGTACGCTGGATTGGACTCAAGCAGTCAGATTTAGTGAATGCGGAGAGACATGATGCTAAACAGGATATCAGTATCTATAACACTTCGAGGGAGACATCAGAGCTCAACACTCCCCCGTCCCGCCCAGTCCCGGCGTCTGTGCAGTGTTCCAGCTCGTGTAAACAGCATTTTCAACAGATAAAGATCAAATTACACTCCTGCAGGCCGAGGGAGAGCAAAACAGGTGGAGACAACAAGAGAATGAGTAAATCTTGCACACAAACAAAATGAGTTTAAAGGAATAGTTAAAAAAAAACTACTATCATTTACTCACCCTCATCTTGTTCCAAATTTTTATGATCATTTTTATGATGCTTTTGTATAATTTTCATAATAGCATGGAAAAGAGTGACGAGCACATTGTTCAAAATGTCTCCTTTTGTGTTTAACGAGAGGGAAAAAAGTCATGCTACAGGTCTGAAGCGATATAGAAATTTTAGCTGTAATATTTCACTTTTGACCCTGAAGAGGGAAGATAATGTTGTACAAAGGGGTCTGTGTCAGTTTTGATCATCTAGAGTGAAAGGATCGCAAGTTAAATGCCATGATGAGTTCATCCATTGAGAGACAGAAACAGCATGAACTATCATAACAGTAGTAAAGGTCACTGCCATCTCAGACAAAACAGCAGTCGGCATACAAAACACAGAGGCCTTGACCGTCATCTGCGAGAAGCCAAATACAAACACGCTGAAGGAATTCAAGTGATAATCGGTGTTGCATTAAGTCTACACTACAAGAGAGTTACATGGCTCAACAATATTCCTATTAAAACAGTATCAATAGCTTGATTAACATCAAATAAAAGACTTAACAAAAAAAAATGATAAAAGCATAAGTAAAGTTGCATGTTAAAATCAACATGGAATGGAACTATGCAATAGTTTTCTTCCCGATTGTGACATATATCTGAGTGAAACGGCTTCTGGAATAAGAAAAAAAAATGTGGGATGGGACTTGTTTTTCATTCTCGGGAATTGATTTGATCATTGGAAGGGCGTTGCTAACTAAATGGAGGCAGATCTGAATGCCAGTTTGCAGTCAGTTGTGAAGTCTCACTCTCTGGCAAAACATACAGAGAACAGACGCCATTTTGGGGGGAGGGAGTTTAATGTTTTTTTTGATTAACCCCCTGGGGACCGAAAACCCGTCCCCGCATTTTGATAGTTTTTTTCACATAGCTGCAACAGACTTAAATAAAATGTCGCATACCGGAAGCCAAAATCAATACATGATTATAAACTATAGAGGGTCTTCTTTTTTGTGTACACTCTTATTAACTTCAAAACCTTGTGTTTTTGTAAAATAAATAAAATAAACAGGGTGCACTTTGAGCTTACTCTGTCTCCGCAAAAATCTTTCTGAAACGCGTCCAAAAATGAACTGTAACTTATTAAATACTTGAGACACGAAAGATTTCTTTTTATGAAGCTGAAATTTTCTTCTTTTAAATGAAGTAGTTTATATAAAAAAGAAACTATTCTCAGTTGATGTAATCTGTATGAAAAGAGAGAGATGTCAGTCTTTTTCCTTTCACCAAATATGATGTGTTAATGTGACCCCGCCCACTGAGAGCGCGCGCTATTCAAACGCTAATGTTGAGGCAAGCCATGAAAACGGCCACATCAGCTGGATAAAACATCCAGTTTATCACAAATCTAACCTTTACCTCGTGTTTCTGCGGTGTGAGGAACAATACTGTCATAATAATCCTGGAAAAGTTACCTCAGTTACCTGTTTCATTTCGAGGAGGAGCACCGATTCAGCTGATGTAAGACATTTATTCTTAAGTGCTTTGTTCTAATCGCGTTATTGAATAGTGTCTGTAAACTGCACAAAGACTGCTAAAATATTAAATGCACGCTGTGCGTTCATTTACTTTTGCTCACATATTATGGTAGCCCTGTTTGTGCTAAATATAGTGTAATTTCACCTGTGCCATTAATATGTTAATAAGCAACTGAAAAAACGCACAAATGTCAGGGCATGTCAGAACATCTCAAGGACCTCAAATACACCTTGGTCCGCAGGGGGTTAAATATTATGAGTGCACATACATTTTAAATAATAATAATTATGTACACAGATAAACCCTTTATAATAAACATGGTAACATTCTATAGAAAATATGAAGAATTGTCAGTTTTGATTTCATGGTGATTTTAAAGGGAAATGAGTGTGTTCACCAAGCTCACAGGAAGGCAGAAGTGGATAACCATCTACAGTATAGAAACCACTCAGCACACCTACACAGCCATAATGGAAAGTTCACATCAGTTTCTGGGAAACAGATCAAATAAAAAGCACAATTTATGGGTAATATAAAGGCAAGAGTGCTTCGAGATATTTGCTACCATCACTGAGAAAAAATGTGTCACCAAACTACAAGAGATGACAGAGGAAAGAGATTGTTTTATGTGTGTGTTTTGTGTGTAAAAGTTTTCTAAGAAATCAAGTCTGCGCAGGAATGTTTGAAAAATGTCTGAAAAAAATTATATTCAAATAATAAAATGCTGTACAACCAAAAAAAATTAAAATAAAATAAAAAGTTTTATTCTACTATTTCTACCAAAAACATTTATATTCAAAGACATTTTGGGTTCACTTTCACTTTAGACATTACAACTATACACTCTTAGAAGAAAAGGTTCTATATAGAACCTTAAAAAGGTTCTATTAGTGCTACGTATTTGGAACCCCTAAAAGGTTCTATACAGAACCCCTTTTAAGGGTTCAATAATAAGAACCCTTTATGGTTTTTTGTAACCAGGAAAAAGGTTCTATATAAAACCATTTGGGTTCATTCATTATCATTTGTTTTGTCCTTTCCGGATTAAATGTTTTATATTATTGACAAACATCAAGACCCTAAAATGTATTTATGAATGCATGTGAATAATCACAA